TTTATTTAATTAATTAATTTTTCCACTTAATTAATTAATTAATTAATTAAAAATTTTACATTAAGCGAATTCAGCTGCCTTGGCGGAGGTCTGTGCTCTCCGAGTGCTCTAGTTCATATCTGTTTTATACTTAATTATCCCTTTAGTTTACTCTCTCAAATTCGGTAACTCCTGTTCCTCCCTCCTGCCACTCAATCCTATGCCTTTATTCACGCACACCGTTCCTCTCTCCTCTCTGCTCCATCTCCTCCCCCACCATCCTCACCCCACCCTCCCTCTCCCTACTCCTCACCGTTTCCGTGCGGGTCGCCGCCCGAGCCGTCGCCGCTCTCCCGCGTCTTGGCGCGTATCGTGTAGAAAATGAGAGCGTAGCAGACGATGATGACGACGAGGGGCACGAGGAAGAGCATGATGAGACTGCCGGCGCTGTACAGCCGCTCCTGCCACGGCGCCGTGTAGCTGCCATGCGTCACGCACTGGTAGAACTCCACCGATTCGAACGGCGCCCGCTTCCGCCGGAAGAGGAAGATCTTTAAAAGGGGGAAAAAAGTGGGAAGATCAGTGCGCGTTAGATCTCGTTATAGAAATATATAGAGATACGGGTCTAACTAGGATATTATTTCTATAGATCTCGCGCACGATCAGAGAGATCATATCATTCATTGTTTTTATGTTTAATATTTACGAAGGTAGATATTTAGAATCGCGTGTAATAGAACTGACTGCTAATATAAACACAACTGACGGCTAGAATAAGGTAATACAATTATATATGAATATGCAACTAATATGAGCATGAGAAATAATAAAATGATGTAATACGAGTAATTTTCCGCATAGATTATTCGTCCGCGGTAACCCTGTAATGAAACGTTAACGAATAACTAAACATAATCACACGGATTATTGATGAGATCAGGAGTGAATAAAACCAAATGTTTCATTCTTATTTACTTCTGATAAAATGCATCCTCTCTAAATGCAAATTGCAATGCAAAGTGAAAAATCACGATTTCTTAGATTACATTTTTTCTCTTTGAATTGCTATATATAAGCTGTTGCTACAGCATGCCACATACATATATATATATACATATATATATATATGCAGATTGTAGATTCTCTCTATCCATGCCCCTCTTCGGGACATCACGGTCGGAGTTTCTTCTGAACAAGTCCGCACCGTCGTCCTGCGCGAGCTCGTCGCGAACGCGCTGCGCTGCGCCGACCGGCGGCGAGATCTCGCGAGATGGAAGGCGCCGTAGATGATCGGATTGACGGCACTCTCGGCCATGCCAAACGCGAAGACGACGCCGTAGACGACGTGCTCGTTGTCGCGCACGAAGCCGAGCCCGAAGACGTAGCCGATCATGATGACGTAGTAGGGTGCCCAGCAGACGACGAAGGCGATGACGATGACGAGGCTGAGTCGCAGCGACGAGCGCTTCGCCTTGCGGTAGAGTAGCACGCGCGGCGTCTGCTGATACTGCTGCTGCTGCTGCTTCTGCTGCTGCTGCTGTTGATAGCTCGACAGGTGCAAGACGGTATCTGTTAACAAACGTAAACACTCATTAATGTAGGTATGTGCCTGTATATGTATATGTATAAGTAATTGTTAACAAAGTAAGAACAAAAAAAACTTATTTTGTTATTATTTACTCCTAATAGATAATATATATATATATACATATATATATATATGCAGATTGTAGATTCTCTCTATCCATGCCCCTCTTCGGGACATCACGGTCGGAGTTTCTTCTGTACACCGTAGAGGGCATGATACCCTGATCAACATATAATACACCGTCATCGTGTGTGCATGATATATACGCCTGTTTGTATTAATCCCCGGTGACACAGTTCGACTCCAATGTTTTTTAACGCAACGTCGTCCTCGTTTCAACGCACTAATAGCGACACAAATCTCAGCTCGCATTCTTGTTGTTGTCGTTGCCATTTTTCTCCTTTTTTGAAACCTACTGCTTCATTGAACAGATGCTACGACTTCATTGAACACTCTGTATATAACCACATTCGCATTCCGTAGTATCATTTTCACGCACGGCAAAACTCACCACGTGGTCACAACAAAACGAGAATCACGATCCTGCTCAGTGTAACCCAGCCATCCTGCTCCTGCCACTTGCCTATCAGTTTTCACGCCTCCCTTCTAAATTCGCTCACGTGGACGCTTGAAAGAGATCGAATGCAGTGCTATTAAACTTACGATTTCTCTGTGTAAGGCTCAAGAGTCAAAGTCAAGCATTTAGAACTTAATTTTGATAGACTTCTGAGAGAAGCTGGACATTAAGAGTTCGTTCTAATTTCATATATATATGTATAATATACACAGAATTGGGATTTAAATGTTGTGTGTGTGAT